GAATTGAATTTACTTTTGAGTTTTTGATCAGGAATTTGATCTATGATTTCCTTGATAAGTTCTTCTTCTTTAGTAAGGACATTTATAGTTTTGTAACCACAAACTTCTTTACTTTGAGAAGAGGATGAGGATGATTTTAATTTTTCAAGTTATTGGTATTTCTTGATTCAAATCGCTTGCTTTACTTGTTGTTCTATCCAATTTGTGATGAATCGATCCCATTTCCTAGTAGATTTTTTTATTTGTTTTTTACATGAATTGATATGAGAGAGATATGAAAGATATTTTGTATGTTTGCTCACGTTTTGTATTTAAAGAGGTCAGAAGTAGGTCTAGAAAATGCGTCTAATTTGATTTCTAAAAGAATTTCAATCAGATAAGAAACGTTGTCCCCGTATATTGGATACATGGAGTAAAGTGTTGCGGTCGCATGGTTGATGGACTTTGCACTTGGGTTCCAAAGAATTAGGTATTTGTGATTGTAGGAGATTTGTCCTATGCGATTGCATGGTAGTAATATCTTCTGCGATTGTTTATTTTGATCCTCAACTTTCTTCATTCACTCAACTCATTTCTTCATGAAAACTTGGTCATTCATCTTCCAGTTATATCCAATTAATTCTATGTAGTCTTCAATCATTGTTTTTTGGTCCGAATTTCATCATTTCATTCATTTCTTTCAAATTCACGTCCAATCTTCGAATTTTACCTTTTATATACATATATATAAAGCCATAATTTATCAAAGTACTCCCAAATATCCATATTTAACGACATAGATGCACTTATCAAATTTCTCCAATTTACAATTATAAAATAAAATTCCATGTACTTAGTCTTCTGTATGTACAGATGTTGTCCAGGGAATACATGGTCCCTATGATGTATCCCGACGTCCAGTATATGCCTGCAGTGGGGATGGAAATGGAAATGGAAATGAACCACCCAATCGTGCCATATCCATCTTTCTTACCATGCCCCAATGCCAAATCCGTTTGAAGCAGCACACTTAGGTTCCGGATTTCCCATTCCTCCACTTCATATGCCAACAGTTCCTCTACTCGATTTCTCTAAAATCGAAGCTTCCGGCCGGAGTGATCCTACTCTAAACTCACTAGTTGCCCACAACCCAAACCAGCCACACTTCGTTGATCCATATAAGCTGTATCTTGGTCTCCACCAGGCACAATTACCATTACCACAGGTAAGCTAAAATAAGTTATTCCCTCATTCAAGCATTTGTCGAAATTTCGGTTGATCACATCGACCATCACTTGCCGAGAGTTATTATATGGGTCACTAAAAGATTTTTAGTTTTCAATTAAAAAAATAAAATTACAATGGTTTTTCCACCCTCCTCTAGCAGACTAGCATGTTCATCATTCCAAGTTAGCTGGTTGTATTAGTTAACTATCAAGTTTAATTCAGCTTTCTCTTGGTCATTGTATATTTGTACTAGTGAGGAGTATTGAAAGGCTGAACAAGAATTAGTCGAAAAATAAAAAAAAATTATTTAATTCAAGAAACAAAGATATTTACTAGTTGTTTATGTATGTGTAATAATCAAGAAATAGTCATTTATAATATACCAAATTTGATAATCAATTTTTAGATATGATATCTGAATCACGAATATTCGGTTTTTTAGATTACAAACTTTCAGTTTTTGATTTCATGAACTTGATGATTTTAACCTTTAAACCTTCTCTAATATTCTTCAAAGTATATAGACTACACTGACGTGCTAAAATCGTTTTAATTAAATTAAAAATTCAATTCTAGATTGATTGGAAAAAGAAAGAATCAAGAAACAATAAAATAATTTATCATTTTTTTTCTCTTTTTTTGGTCTTATTGAATTCAGCCACCCCATAGCTATATATATATAAGGAAAATGTTTAGTCGTTCAAGTTTAATTAGTTCATAATTTTAAATGTAAAACTTTAATTACAATTACAGTTAAGTCAAAAACTTTAAAAACAATTGTAATTGAGTCCAAAATTTTATAGAGTTATCATAGGATTTTCCAAACTACCATCCAATTTATTATTAGTCATTGTTTTTCTAATCATAAGACTGTATTCTCATACTATATAAAATCATAGAAGCTAAAATATTTGCAATATTTTCCTCTAACCTACTATATGTATATTTCATCCTAATTCGAGATTCAATAATTAGGAATGGACAAAAATGACCATTTTAATCCTCTAATTAGTCTAATTAACTAACATTCAATTTTTTTTCAGAGATCCTATGAATTAATCACAGATGTAGGAGTCTAGTCGTTGTTAAATGATAAGTGTATTTTGTATAATTATCGGGATCGTTAAATAATGCCAATTGTCATTAATTTTGATGACTTATGTCTTAATTATGTATATATTTCATTTATTAGGTAAAATTCAATGCAAACTTGTTGAATTGGATAAAATGAGGGGAAAATGAAGAAATTCAAAGTTCGGGACCAAATTGCTAACTTTCAATAGTTGATTCGGACCTAATATCGATGGTTGAAGGATGCTTGGATTCAATTGGGTATAATTAGAATATAAGGGACCAAGATCATTTCAAGAAAGGATTCAAGAGAGCACCATATACAAATTTGGGACTAAAATGAACAAACCTGGAAGTTGACGTGGCTCACGTCCAGTACACAGATCAGCACGCACGAGGGAGACTTCGGGGACCTGTGTGCAGTTTTCAATTTTAATTACAAGTCTCAAAAAGGTTGAAGAAACAGGGACGGTGATCGACTCAAAAACAGTGGGTCAAGGTGGCGACACCTAGGCCCTTGATTTGAATTGTGGGCCATTCAAATCAACTCCCGAATGGAAGCCACATCAAACCCTTGTTTTTGAGTCGATCACCGACCCTATGTGTATAGTAGAACTCTAAAATTCTTCCTAGAAACCAATTTTGACGCAATTTTTGACCTATTTTTCGAGACTTATAAATAGAGAATAACATCCAACATCGAAGGGATCTCTCTCTAATCCCTTAATACATATTCATATCATAAAATTTATCAAGAACAATAAATCAATTCACATCTTTTGGGAGAGAAGATCAACCTAACAAGAAATCGAATGTCAATTACCTCAAGAACTTGAAGATTTCTAAACTTGGAATTGAAGATCAAGATGTCTTACATTTATTCATGATCCAGGTGACATCTATTCATTCTTCTTCTTGTAATTTATATAAAATCATGATAGGCTAGATCCTTATTTGTATTGGATGAAGATCAACCCTTTTGATTATTTATTTTAATTCAAAACAAGTAGTTTAGTAATTCTAATTTTTTTTATTAGTCTTGCATTCTCGTCACATTATTTAATTACTTAGACATCAATTAGATAATTAGATGCTTATTCTAGTACTGAAAAGTTCACAATCAAGTTTAGAATACTTCGTTCGTTAACTCATCAAGATATTTGATCAATCAAATTGACATCACTCGTTGATAAAAGAAATATTAAACTCGCAAAAATTTATACACAACCTTATCAAAGGATTAAGCTAAAATACTCGATCAAGTAAAATTTAATTCTTCGCACTATCAAATTGTACATGTGATCTGTTCACTGCACTTCAAGTATAATAGTGAAACCTTTAAACTAATTTTGCAATAATGACAAATTGCAATCCCAAATAGTGAATAGACGACACTGTAACATTCCATATAAGGTGCTAACCATTATACATTAATTGTAGACAATTTTTATTTGTGATCAAAATATAAGTCATGTCGCATTGTGCATCTCAATGCAAGCACCCAATATGTATTATTAGAAGTGGTCATTGAAACTTTTATAAAATAAATAAATAAATAAAAACAAAATTTATTTATGATAAAAATTGTCAATTTATTACAACAACCCAGCAAGGAGTTTCTTACAAGAATCAAGCAGTGCTACAAGCTTGTACCACCAAGCCCAGTAGCAGCAAAGAAACCAGAGACCATGAGAATGACCTGCCTGGCAGGTAACTTTGTAATGATATTTTTGTAAGGTCTTATTAAAAAGAACTGTAAAAGAGTTGTGCAAATTTTTACTGTCTTTGGGTTTAAGTCCACATAAATTTTGATACTAATCGACCTTGTAAATGTGTTCCAGGAGGACGTATGGAAGAATTTATTTGCTATCTGCCATTTTGCTTAAGGTAAATGAAGCTGATGCTTCAATGGAATTAATTGCAAGTTCATATAATCTTGTTTATAGAGGAATAGTTTTAGCACGCAACTTTAGAGTCGAATGTTAACGCACGAGCTAATGACAGGTGAGCTTCGTCCAAAACTATGGAAAATGAGCAATTACACAAGATTTGACGAAGAAGTCTGTGTAACTGAGGATGTATGATAAAGAGAGACAAGTCGTGAGCGAGCTAATAGAAAATGAGTTTCAAAATATTATTAAAAAAAATGAGTAATGTTATTCTTCCTCAATGAGGATGAAAACACAGTTTATGTGGTTTTAAATGATAGGTTAAGTGAAATGTGAAATTAAATGAATTTTACCTATAATTTAATACCACATTGACGTCATATAGACTGTGTTTTCATCCCCAATAGGGATGAATAGCATTACTCTACAAAAATGCTTTATTTTCAAAAAAGGGGGGTCAAACGGTCAAATGGGGACTAAATTGAGTACAAATTTCATGCTTTAAATCAAAGACACTGTAATGAAATATATTTGAGAATTGCTATTCATTCCCAGTGGGGATGAAACACAGTCTACATGGTTGCACAATCAGCATCCTACATGGCAGATTTTTTTTTTTTTTTTAAACTCAAAGTGGAATTCACGTGTTTTCCCAAAAAAAGGCCAAACCTTTCATCTTCCAGAACCATTAAAGAAAGAATGAATCCTCATTATCATCTCAGTTCCCCTCTCTCACCTTCTCCACCACCGCACTCCGACGACGGCACCACCGAAGCCTCCTCTTCTCTGATAACTTTTGGAGGCTTCATTATCATCTCTCTCTCTCTCTCTCTCTCTCACCTTCTCGACCACCGCACTTGGATTTGGGGATGAGGGCTCGATTTATAGTTCTATTGCCTCTGTTTTTCATCGAGATTATGTACAACAGCAGCCATTGACTTTGTCCTCTTACACAAATTTCCCAGCCCTAGAAGTTGTTTTCAAGTGTAGTAGTGGTGGTGAATCTAACATTGGAGCATTCTTTAATCCTGATTTGGTGTTTTTGGACAAATAGCTATATAATAAAGTGGAGTTTTTGGATGAAGAAATGAGAGAGAATCAAGTGGAGTTTGGTGTTCATGATTCTCATGGCCATTCAAGATGGTTAAGACCTGTTTCTTCGATGTCCTTTGCACAAGGCGGACCGCTTGCTGAGGCTTTACGACCTTTATCCGTTGCTGGAGGTAGAGGAGTAGGTTCAAATTCGAGTTCTCCATATGATTCAATAAGATGATGAATTCGTTTCTAATGGATTCAATTGCCCTAATGGATTTAGATATCAGAATGATGAATTCCTTTCTCAAACTTGAATGAATGCATTGTGTAGAGGAGTTATTGAGTGTTCTAAATTTTAATCAAATGTTAGTGCTACAAGGAATGACCTCTAGACTTCAATGCTCCCTTTTCCCTTATTCGGTGCTGTTCTTAGTGCACTTAAAATATAATATACTCCATTTATAATGGTCCATTTTTAGATCAGACAACAAACAAATATATCACACGTCCCAAATGAATCATCTTAGAAAAGGGTCTAGCGGCACTCAAAAACTTACATTCGACAAAAAACTAGACCCTCAAGTAAGTTCATAACCATAAATAGGGCCATGTCAAATTCCCATTTCGCGAGTAATACGACCACTGGATAGTGCTAATGATATCCTTAAACGGTAGACTTGTCTCCAATATTTTAACCGAATACGCCAATGGGATGAATATGCTGCTGCATTGCCTCAAGGTTCAACTTTTATTTGAAAAATTTCTTTAAAAGAGTAGAATCATTGTAACGTGAATATGGGATGAAATAAACGTGTAACTAATAAAGAAAAAGAGCCACCTATTAAGACTGTTGGCATTCAATTATCATCCTGATGATTCTTAATACACCATAAATAAATAGCCACCAGCAACACAATACAAATCCAGAAAAGGAGAAAAAATAGATCAATCCATTACAGTTGACTCGGCCTATTCATTCACTTCTAAATCCATTACACGTCTGCAAAAGAACCGAATCATTCACTTCTAAAGGCTTGTCCTGCCATTTGTAAAATTAAAAATACATTAGTATAAATTGAGTATAAAATGTTGACGATTCATATAAGTGGTAAATTACCATTACCTGAATCAATATTACAAATGTTGCTATTTTCTTCATTCCGCATATATGGATCATAGTAATCCATGACAGGACCTAATATATACAAAAGTAAGAACAAAGAAATGTATTAACATAGACATGAAGTAATCAAATAATAGTACATAACGAACTTTTCTTACCTTGAGCATTGAGTATAGAATTAGGTAAAATTGGAGGCCTTGAAACATAAGATGGTAGGTGATGAAAGTAAGGAATGTGTTGCTGGAATCTCGCTATTTCATTAACTTGAAAATTGTAAGGTAGATATACTTGTGTTCCCGGCTCCTAAAACCAACGAAGTGACTTCAATTCTAAAAAATTATCGTCAAAACAGTATAAAAATTGAATACTAATAAGCTAGTATCAAATTTTACCTGTATACTTGTACTATCTTGTGTGCCGACCTCAATGTGCATACAAACTTCCTGTTCGGTTGCTTTAGACTGAAAGCAAATAAATGTAGCATTTTAATAGAATTAAAACGTGTCCTTTACTACAACTGAAGATGATATATAATTATGTACCTCAAGTTTTTCTTTCTTTTTCTTGGATTTTTTTCTTCACATTTTTTCTTCTTGGAAACAAACTTCTCTACATTGGAGACCCTTCTATTCTTGGGTGGACGTCCGTGTCTTCGAACGGCAAGGGGACTATGAGGTCTACTTCCACTAGAAGCTTTACAAAAATCACCCACATTGTCACAACAATCAATATTATTCATAGTGGCATTAGTACTTATCGAAGAACTCTTCAATGTTGATTCAGTTTTTTTTTATTTTTGATTGAAACTCCTCCATCATGTTCAATAATATGGTACAATTCTCATCCGAAGTGACAGCCAAGTCTGCAACATCATCTAATTTCTTTTGCAACTTATGATAACGTTGAGCCTCCTCATCATCTTTCCAATCATCATAGGTAACTTTCACCTTCGTGTGAGACCGTTTTAAGTCTTTCCTTCAACGTGCTAAGATATAAAGTTCAGGGACATTTTGAATATTACGTTTCAAAAGAACTGATAAAGCTTGCTTGCATAAAATTCCTCTATATTCAAATAATCAACAAGGACATTTAACCTCATTTCCCCCTTCATCACAAAAAACAGTGAACTGAAGTTTTTTTTGTTTATCTCCAACAATTATATCCTCAACCACATTAAACAACCCATTTTCCTCATCAACACAAGAAACTTCACAATATAATTTTCCAGTCAACTCTCTTTGAAATTCTTTGAACTTTGAATTAGTATATACACTCTGAAATTGCTTTTCAATTTGAAAATATGTTACACATGGAATCCATGTAGTAAAAGATTGAAAATCTTCAAGGTTTTCCTTCTCGGCCTTGCTTCTTAAAGCATTATCATATTGTTCGACAAATTGTTTCAATGTTGTCTTTGAGTTTACATAGCCATCAAAGAATGCATTCATACTTTCACTACGTTGTGTGGT